GCTAGGCTTATCTAGAGAAATGCAATGTGTGCTGGTAACCCAATTCAGGTTGCATAGAACTGCCCAAGGAACATGAATGCTTTTCCTATTTTCATAGTTACACTAATATTTTAGAATATAAATCCATCTTTTACTCTTTTAATCTTGGGTCACTTGCCAATTTATTGACTTTCAGAGCTCCAAATCTTTGCTTTTTCTGCAATAACGGAACTAAACTCTGTAAACGCTTCTTCCATGCTAGCTGGTTTGGTGGTAAGAAGTAGCGTCTCTTCCTGGGACTCCTGGCTTATCATTCTGAACTTCAGTAGTGCCTAGTAGCTAGCAGCAAGCAGCACCTTCTCTTGGAGACCTTCCCCCAGCACACTGTTCTTGAGATGGTTTCCTTGTGGTATACTGGTGGTGAAGCTCCTTCCTGCAAGGGGCTTCTCCTAGCACGTTGTGGGGAATTCTGAGATGAGGCACTTCCCAGTGGATAGCTTCTCCCAACAAGCCAGGGACAAGATTTCTGAACAAGTCCTTGGTGACCCTCTTTGCCCACCAGTGAGCCACAATCATGCTCCCTTGAACAAGGTCTGGCTGTCAACCCTGGTGGTGTAGAAGTTCTCCTGCTTGGGCACTTAATTTCAGTCCTACAAGTAGCGGCTACTCCATGTATCTGCTATTCTTATATAGTTTACAATTCTCTTTGCTTCTTATTAGCCAATCCTCATTTACTACAAGACTATTTTTATTTATTTTTATGTGGTGCTGAGGATCAAATCAAGTGCCTCATACCTGCCAGGCAAGAGCTCTACCACTGAGCCATAAACCCAGCCCCAACTCTAAGACTCTTAATAGTTCCTTCCAGCAAACATTGTGTGTTCAAATTACTATGTGCTCTCTATGTCTTGACTGGACTCCGACTGATGTAAGTGCTCATTTAACCCAAGTTTTACAAGTAATTAAATATTTAATGTTCACCAACAATCCTTCTGCCATTGTATGTTAGACATTACTCATTCTCCAGTAGACCTCAGAAATAACTCAAGCGAATAACCTTCCCTGAGTTCTTTCATACTGAAAATAAAATAGCCTATTCTCAGGGCTACTCAAAAGTCAGTTTTCTGGATCTAATGACCTTGATTCACATTTTCTTTGAATTATTAAATGTTACACTATTTTCTTCTCAAATGAAGTGTTAAAGTCCTATGAGATATATATATATATATATATATATATATATAGATATAGATATATATAGATATATATATATATTGCCTAAATGCTTTTTAAAAAACATTAAGTCTAGCACTTTTACTAGAATACATTTTGTTCATTTTCAGTTCTCAGACATATAGTATACTCTTTATATATAATAATACACAATAGTATATAAGATGTATAAAACCTTTATCCCCCCACTTTGTACATATATGTGCATATATATTCTCAGGAAGTTTTCTTGAATTATACTGCATTATATTTATTGTTACCTGTCTTGGATTTTCTTTTTTTCTTTTTTTTTTTTTTAAGAGAGAGTGATAGAGGGAGGGAGAGAGAGGGAGAGAATTTTTTTAATATTTATTTTTTAGTTATTGGCGGACACAACATCGTTGTTTGTATGTGGTGCTGAGGATCCAACCCGGGGCCGCATGCATGCCAGGCGAGCGCGCTACCGCTTGAGCCACATCCCCAGCCCCTGTCTTGGATTTTCTGAATCGATGATTCAATGTTTGCGTTGGATTTTTTGCCTTTTTCTTTTTGACTTAAAAAATTCATGTTCAACTTGTATTGAACATGAATTGAACAGGCACTGTTATATCTGCTTACTCTTGTGTTCCAGTTTTCTGAAATCATTTTTTATTTCTAATTCTTTCTTGAGTTATGTTACTTCGTTTCTGAGTTTTTCTTATTCTCTTTTCATGTCTTATATAATTTTCTTAAAATCTTTACAGTAGCCCTGTGCCAGTTATTCACACTCATTACAACCTCTCTTCCCTCCTTCTGGCTTCCCTTTCCTCAGTTTAGAATGATTAGCCCCTGCCTCGATATGGTATTAGGGAATCAAAGTCCTACTACTACCCACTGAGAGGCTTATAAAGTTAAGGACATAATAAAGTATATTAAAATATAAATATGTAGCCAGGCATGGTGGGGCTGAGGCAGGAGAAATGCAAGTTAAAGTTCAGCCTGGGCAACTTATTAAGTCCCTGTCTCAAAAATAAAAAATAAAAAGGACTGTAGATGCAGCTCAGTGGTTCAATTTATATATATGTATATGTATACATGTATGTATGTGTGCGTGTGCGTGTGTGTGCGTGTGCGTGTGTGTGTGTATGAAATATTAAGTCTAGCAATTCTGGTGGCAGGGGGATAAGAGTTATCCCGCATGGGCTAAGGTACTGAGAGAGGGCACCAAAGTTCTGGGCCATGGTCTTTTCCCAGCAAAATAAAGGGAAAGGTCCCCTGGGCTGAGGCCGTGGCTTGGGGAAAGGCACATCTGCGGAAACGCGAGGCGGCCCGACAGCAGGAGGAAAGCACGCTTCAGAACCGCGCTGCTCGGGCACTTAAATCAGCACAACCCTTCTTCTCTTACTTCAGTTGAAAATGTCCGCACTGAGACAGTCCATCTTACATACGTCTCAGCTGAGTGCGGCTTTGGATCTATCATCCAAGGGCATAAACACGGCATGCTCGGGACAAATCGTGAACTGGCGCGGACCACACGCTCTGGGCGTCGCACAACAGGCGGCGTCCGCCCGGGACCTCTGCGGGAAACCCTCCTGGCCCTCCACAGTCTTCCCGGGAGGACCTCGGCCCATCCCCACAGAAACATCTAGAAACGCCTCCACTTGGATGCCACTAACATCACAAAGCGCAGGGCGACCACCTGGTTGCAGCTACTGAGGAGACACCGCCCCCAGTTCCTCCCGGCCGCCTCCGAGGGGCGGGGTTTCCGCTTCCGGCGGCGGATTGTTGACGCCTGCGGTGCTGCGGTGGCGACGGCGCCGTTGGGGAGGGGCCGCTGGGGGAGGGAAAAGCTCAGTGACAGGTACCGCGGAGGGTGCTGCTGAGGCGACGATGGCAGAGGGGCCCGAGGAAGCCCGAGGCCGCCCTCCCGGGC